ACAGAGAAGCTCCAATAGAGGTTCTTTAAGTTGAATAGTATTAGGCATGTTAATCTTCAGGGAGCAGTCACTCACACAAATGCTAGCATTATTAAGCTAATACTTCTTCCTGCGACTGTAGCCATGTGATGTTATATTTAAAGAAACATAAACACAGTTTTGTTGAAATTGGAAAATTCAGAAGGATGACAATGACCCAGGAACTGAGGTTATAAATACCCCGTCATCAACGTTTTAGCAAAGAAAATGCATCCTACTCAATGACAGGTTAAAACTAGGGCTGTCAGTTGATTAAAATCTTTTATCTGTTCTAAATGTACCTTAGAGGGATATTTTTCAAGTTTTGAATACTCTTATCAACATATGAGTGGACAAATATGCTTTATGCAAATGTTTGCTTATTATCATTTGAACAATAACAAATATTCTCATGAATATTAAACACAACAACCTCTGAACATTACAAATATTCGCCTCAATTCAACCTAGAACCTCTCTCATACAATAATACAATACTGTGTGTGTGTGTGTGTGTGTGTGTGTGTGTGTGTGTGTGTGTGTGTGTGTGTGTGTGTGTGTGGGGGGGGGGGGGGGTAATGGCAAAAAGGTGAGCGCAGGCTCACCATTTTGCGTGTGTGTGAATGTGGAGGATCGTTGGAGCTATGTGCAGCTCAAGGCATATATGCCTGTGTGTATGAGCTGTGTTGACCTCTGAACATTACAAATATTCGCCTGAATCCACCCTGGAACCTCTCTCATACAATACAATAATACAATACAAAGTGTGTGTGTGTGTGTGTGTGTGTGTGTGTGTGTGTGTGTGTGTGTGTGTGTGTGTGTGTGTGTGTGTGTGTGTGTGTGTGTGTGTGTGTGTGTGTGTGTGTGTGTGTGTGTGTGTGTGTGTGTCGGCGCAGTTGTCGGCGAAATGCCGCTCCTCTGTTTTCATAACTGTCAAAGCATGAGACTGAAGTTCTCACTGTGGGTCAAAATAATGCGCTGTGGCCCCGAGGTAACTGTCATTACTGAGTGAAGTCCAATAGTCTCCGGTGAGCGCAACTGTGGAAGTCTTTCTTAAATCCTCCTCTACTTTCGCTTTTTGGACTTCATACAAGTTGTGTATTTTCGACACAGTGGTGGCTCTGGAAGGCAATTCATAAGTGCAGTCGTTGGATGCGACCCGAATGATATCACGCAGCCCCTCATCCTCCACAATGTTAATTGGCCTGCAAGCTGTCGCCACCCATTTAGCGATCTTTGTTGAAAGTTGAAAGTTATTAACGCGTTAACTTGACAGCCCTAGTTAAAACATGTATGAATATACTGTACATGTATCATACATGAGGGCAAAAGAACAAAGAAACTCATATGAGTTTTGAATGGATTTCTCTAAAATGACCACATTATGTTACATTATGTGCTTTTTCTTTTCTTATTCTATTTTTGACTTGATGTTGCAATCTTCTACATGGTTCAATCACGTTTTATTTCCCAGTTGTTTTAATAAAACTATCAAATAGACAAGAAAGACAGACTTAACTCAGGAAAACAGCCTCAGCTCCACTGCCGCAGCAGCGTCAAATGTCATATTGAATAGCTAAAACTAAGACACACAGTTAGATTTACACAATGTATTTCTCCGCTACTTGAACAGGGACAGGGAAGGATGTGATCCGGGCTGTTCTGGAGAGAGAGACATTTGATCGACTGATGTTGCTCGATGAAAGGATGAACTCTGCTCACACAGCAGTCACTCTTTTATTGCGACGAGTCACAGCTGCCCCATGAGGTGAATTCAATTGACATGGTCCTGTCTGAACACGAAGAAGGAAAGAATTGGCTTTTATAATCTTTGAATTGCAGCATATTTTAGGAAGATTAACCATCTTCTTTCATGTACATTACGCACTGCATTCCGACCTTGAAGTGGAAGGGATTGGCCAGGATTAGTTTTATGTGAGAACATCTGTAGATAATAACTGATTGACCCTCTAACCCAGGGGTGGGGAACTTCCGGCCCCCGGGCCGTATACGGCCCGCGAGACAATTTGATACGGCCTTCGAGGTAACACACGCAAAAAAGAAAAAAAATTAAGAAATCTAGACCGCAAAATAATTAAACAAGCGAGTGCCTGTTTTTCCTGGCCAAGGTCAGCGTCCTTGAACACAACACGAGCCTAATGTGTCATCACGTGGTATACGTCTCGTCTGACAGGGGTTTAGAGCTGACAGAGAGCACCAGAACGCCACTCCGAGCCGGGACTTCACAAATGTTAGTACCCATAAGGAGCCGTACACATGCCGCAGTTTTTGCGTGGCTGTGTCTTTAGTTGAAAGCCCAGTGGCGATCTGTTCATCTGTCATACTGATCATACTGTCAATAACTTTGTTGTTATTAGCATCTGGTTAGCTAGCTATGCTAACGAATATAAGAAGCTTTTTCTACAACCAGTGAGGTAAAGGCACATCTTTATATGATCATTATAGTTATAAAAACACAAGAGAATAAAGTAAACGGGTATAAAATACTATACGACAGTAAAAAAAAGTTGTTATTAATAAACAAGAATACAGTTTGAAAGGGGAGTGATTTGTAAAATATCCATAAAGAAAAATAAAATCTGCTTACAGTTCTGTTTCATAAAGGTGTTGAGAGATGTATCCATAGAGCTCCTAATGTTGCTCTCAAAGTGCACCAGATTGATGCTTTTAACTTCAACATTTAAAAAAAAAAATCTTCCCGGGGGAGCATGCCCCCGGACCCCCCTAGAGGAGGTTAGGTCCCCCCCCTCACTTAAATCATGTCCACATGGATAGGAAACTAAATTGCACACATCTTTCTGTTTTGGTGGTCATGCCACAACCGTGCACGTGAATGCATGCGCGAGTAAGATATCTGGATTAAGAGGTTCTTTTTCTTTGCACAGCATGAAAGAAAGGCCAAATGAATGGGCTGTGATTTTAGTATTTTTAAGCAGAGGTCAATAATTTGTACGGCCCTCGGAGGATGTTGAAAAAATTGAAATGGCCCTTGAGAGGAAAAAGGTTCCCCACCCCTGCTCTAACCTCTGCAGACTAAGTACAACTTTAAATAGGAAAATGACTGAAATGGCCGATGGCCCAGATCAAACTACATAAGTTCCTGCGTTTTAAAATTAAATTCATTTCAGTGTGTCACCGAAAAGACGAAGGTTTAGGGAGGGCTCATTTCCAATGCTCTCTACATAACCACTGGTAATCCGCAGCCAATAGTAATCCTGTGTTAATAGGGCTTAATGCAGACTAAACTAAGAGGGCGAAGAAGAAGAAATCAAGAGTGCCAAAAGGCTGACAATAGATACAGTATGTGCAGACAGACTCTCTCTTTGACATTTAAGAACAAATAAAAGATACAACATTTTAGTGATGATTCATAAGTTATTCGGTATAAAAATGAATGATCCTTTTTTGTACTAACCGACTGATGCTGGTTTCATTATATAGCTTTCATTGCAATGGTGTCATTTGCAGAGAAAATTAAGTCATATGGACAAATTAATTGTAGCCGCAAACCCAGTATATTATTTATGATAAACATGGAAGAGTAGGTATGTCTAAACTTCGCCTACTTCTAAGAAAGATGAAGAAAGTAAATGTATTAGTCTAATAATAACTTTTGTTCTGTATGCTGCAACGGTAGCTGGAGTTTTACCGTGTCGGACATTAAGATGGCAGTGGGGGGGCTGGCAGTGTCCATTGATTTGGGGCTGATAGGGCAGGTAGAGGCAATAGGGGTTGATGTGTCTGAACCGCATGAAACAGACATTATGGCTGTGTCTCAACTTGGATACTCTCCTAGATATACTGCATGTGAATAATTGCACAGTGAAGTGTGAATTTCTGGTGTGTATTGTTGTTTCAAATGGCTCATAGCTGCTGTGCCCTTCCCCGGAGGTAACAATCGGTGCTTTTAACTAGCTAGAAAGCTAGCAAGTTTAGCGGCAGCAAATTCTTACTGACAGCTAAATAAACCCAACTAAATAAATGGTGGCTTCTTTACGACACTAGTATAGTGGTAAGTTCATTAATTTAATTTTAAAAAAAAAGATCAGACAGAACTTTCATTTGTAATGGGTTATGGTTAAAAGGGTTAACGTATTTGTGACTATTTGAACAACTTCCGTTACGTAGCCAAGAGGGCGGAACATTTTGACCGTAATGTGAGCACCATTCCTTTTACTCTAGTAGACTGAATGTTGCCATAGTGCGCATTGTGAGCTCAGTATAGCTCTTGTAAGTTCAGAAGAAGACAAATTGATACAAAGCTAAAAGACTTCTACTGTGTCATTTGGCTAATTTGATGCCAGAGGCAGAGTCAGCTGTTTGACCAGCATGGAAGCTGTGAGTCACACACCAGTGCCTGCTCAACCATCCGGTCAGAAGGGGCAACCCCTTTATCTACGACCAGGACACACACACACACACACACACACACACACACACACACACACACACACACACACACACACACACACACACACACACACACACACACACACACACACACACACACACACACACACACACACACACACACACACACACACACACACACACACACACACACACACACACACACACACACACACACACACACACACACACACACACACACACACACACACACACACACACACACACACACACACACACACACACACACACACACACACACACATATATATATATATATATATATAGATGTGTCTAGGGCTTAAAAAGCCTGGGTTTTGTACAGCCTGTCTCTAAAATGGGTTTCCATTAGCTCTACTGTGATTATTAACTTTCCATTGATGCAGCAGCATAGTCAGAGGCACACTGACGTCAAGCAGTGTCCTTGACGGAGAAGCAGCACCCAGTCACCTGCTGAGGAGTTCACCAAGTGTGTGTGTGCAAGACAGAGAGCGGAAGAGAAAGAGACAATGTGTGTGTGTATCCAGAGAGAACCAGAAAAGCGTACTTACTGCACAGAGCAATGATGTGGCTGCTGTCTTCGTGGACAAATTTCTTAGTCACCGCTTCCTCCATAACCTGCTTCACCTACAGACAAAGGCACAAAGGAGCCAACGTTTGTTCAAAGTCAAGGTATTCTGCTTCAGTTTTACATCAGTCGTTAAAAGATGATTACATACACTTATACACACTACAATAATAACCTTGATTTAGGCATCACAGTGTCATATACATACTCATGATTCCAGCATCTTAGAATAAGAGGGATAATGAACATTTTCAAACTGTGCAAAGACACATTTGCCTGATCTTGGGTGTAAAGAAAAGTTTAAAGGGTGTTCGAAACCCCCTCTTCTGGGGGTATGAATGTGATATGTTCAATTCATGACAAACAGGCTCTTACGATTTTGATTACAATTTGTGTAAACGTTTACGTTTTGGATTAATAAAGTTGCTAGCTGCCAAAACTTGAGGTGTCATCCTCCGGAAAGCACAAATATTATTCGCCCCAGAAACTTGGTCATATTGGTCGATATACCATATCTTGAAGGTTTGGTCAAGGAGAAGTGTTAAAAGTGGTGCAAGATACAATGTAAAGGATTAGAAAGAGATTTATATTAATGGTTCACAATACACTAAAGTGCTGTTACATTTCAATTTGTATTCTGTCCGTTGTGCATTCTCTGTAAATTCTTATGATGGAGGATATCATTTGTAATGTTATCACAATTTTTCCTAATATGCCAGTATTCCGAGGCATAACTGGTACCATAACAATTACAGTAATTGACACTGTTGATATGTTTGTTGATTCCCAAATGAATAATAAAATAGTTTTCCCTGTTGTACCAAACAAAATAGTGTCATTTTAGCATGGAAGTTAAATGGAGGAACCGTTGTAGCTGAAAACTTGATAAGTTATTTTAATAATATAGTTTAGTTAGTTATGTTGATGAAATAGTACAACACCAATTTATCATTGCACAATTGTTGTCAGGCTCATAATGTAAATGTAATGTTTTTTGTAACTTCTATAAAAAAGGATACAAATTGAATTTAGAACTGGGGATATGGTTGTTTTTTGTTTTGAATTCTCATGTTTATATAATATTTTATTATTTGTATTTTATTATACGTTTCTTATGTTTATATATCTTATTTTATCATTGCACATTCTGCTAATTGAGGTTCCTTTGTTTCACTATAGGCTGAAGTCACACATGCAGATACCAACACTCCAACTCAGACTAGTAATGGCCACCACAAGCCTCTATTATAACCTATAATGAGAAAGTGGATGTGTCGACCCCTGAATTAGCAACACATGTGCTTAAGCCTTATTTTCCTCCTGTTTTGCCAATATTCAAAACAATAGCCAAATAGATCACCCAAAAATGAGTTTTCATTTCATTCAGGTAGAATTTTTGATTGCTCCCAAAAATCCAGAGCTGACAATGCTACCAAATTATTTTCTACTTGCTTTTCTGCTCGGAAACATTTGAGCCATTGTGTGGCAACTATACCTGATAACAAAAAAATTATAAACAAATAATTATGCAGTGTCTTTTTAAAATTGTGACAGTTACTAATAACAGATCTGCCACTCTTGTTCAAACCCCCGCACCACTGACTTCCAATTAATAGTATGGCAACCTGGAAACATCCGAATGAGTCTTTCTGCTGTTATCTCTTGTTTCTCTGGGGAGGAGAGTCTGAGTCAGTCTGGTGTTCGCTTGTCTAAGTTCCTTCTCTCCATAGAATTAATTGTCGGCAGTAATTAATCCGGGACCTGCCTGACACCTCTGCCTTGTTTTGATCTAATTGATAAACAGGAAGAAATTAATTGTACAACTAGAGCATCACTCAGTTCAAACTTTTCCCCTGTATAAGGGGTCTGAGGTAGGGAGCTTCATTATCCTTCAAAGTTTATTGTGTGGGATGAGCAAAATAACATGTTTTGTAAAACCAGGAAAGCATTGACAAAGCCGATAAGAAATAAGTGCAGGAATGAGTCCTAGGAATTTAGTTAGCATTTTACCAACTTTGGTTCCCTTGTCTTGAAGTTTTTTTTTTTACGTGTTTGTTGTTAGACGCCTGAAATAAGGTCTGTGTTTAAAACGAGCTTTGAAGGTTTATACATGTTGTATTATGACATACAATACATCCGTAATACCCAACTCGGGATCGTCGGAAGCTTCTGTGTGTTATAAAACCGCCGTTGCCAACAAGTGACAAAATAAGACTACTTCACGTTATCAGGCCAAACACGAGTCAGCCTTTGGTTTAGCGGTGGTGACGTGCAGCCATGCCACCGTGATGTAGTACGCTTATAGCCTTACATTAGCTTTTTACTGATGGCGATTCTGTTTCGGCTTCAAAACTCATAAAAGTATAGTCATTAAGTGGAGATCATCCTTCTGAACAACATTTTTTAGTATCATTTACAAAACTTGCCACAGATGTTATTTTCTGCAATATTCCGAAGTCCAATCGAAAAATACAATTGTTTTTTGTCAAGGGAGCTGTTGCAACGCTTACTTCCAGGTTGTCCTACAAAACATACGCCATCACCACTCTATTAGAAAAAGGTTTTAGAATGTCATAGACAGAGAAAAATAATGAATTTGGTTCCAATACGTCAGAGCTGCCAGAACACAACTAGAAATTCTTCAGGCGCAAAGGGTGATTTATATCTTATAGACGCACATACCAGAGTTTCCGTTCGCCGGTAATTACCGGACTATGACCGGTAAAATATGCTGAAGACCGGCAAATCGAAATCTCTCCGGTCAAAATGTCCGGTCAAAATAATTTCCCCTTAGCGCAATATCGCATCATTTGCGCCACTTATGTGACAGACAAGAATAGTCAATTCTAATGTCTAACATTTAATGTGGAGAAAGAGATGTATCCTCCTGTATGGGTTGATTGTACGTTGTGTGAAGGCGAGTGAAGGCGGGAGCTGCGTGATTGTGTTTCTTCACTTCTCTCACTCACTATTTCCTCTTTTTAAGGGCACAACACTTAAACAGTTAAGAACGCATTTATACCTAAAACCGCCAGACGGGGACATGTTGACCCCTCATGTAAACAAATGCATAATGCTGCGCTATACTTTGCCACCACACCCCGTTGCCAAGCAACGCTTATTGTTTAGGTGTCCTTTGATAAGCAGGCAGTCATATCACTAGCTAGATCTGATCGATATGGACATAAATGCGAGTGAAGTCTAATCGGACGGGAGAGAAATATCAGAGATCAGGATCAGCTGCTGCTGACTGAGACACGCAGCTCTGCATGATCACCTGCAGCTCTACATGATGCAGCTCTATGATCACCTGCAGCTCTACATGATGCAGCTCTATGATCACCTGCAGCTCCACCGCTGTGACGGACCGGTGAGCGGAGCAAAACACACACTTCAAGTTAGAACATCACACTTAGCTATTGGAATTACCTCTCAAACTACCTAAACTAGTTATAGATATGTTTATTTTTACTGTCGGGTCACTCATTACTGGATCAGCTGCTGCATGAGACGGATACTGACAGGCTGTCAGGAGAGGGAGAGGAAAAGAGAGGCTCCGTTTATTATTCCTGTGTTATTATCCGAAGTTACTTTACACTTTTGAATAATGTAGTTAATCTACTATAATTTAAGTTTGTTTAATATAGAGTCGTTATCAATTTGTTTTAAAGCTCGATAAATAACAAAGAATACCTTTGACCGGCACTTTTCTCATTTTGTCCGGAAGATTTCAACTTTAACGGACATGTTGACCGGCAAAAGAAAATTCAAACGGAAACTCTGGCACATACATGGCATTGCTTTCCATGTCCATCAGCGTGGCCTAAGTAATTTGCTTATAGAGATCAGATCAAAATGCAAACAGAATTTGAACGACAAGAATGCTTATTAATGACAGGTTTGAATGTTTGTATTGCAGCTTTGACGACATAGTTGTATTGAAAGCTCTGCTGATGTGTCCTTGAGCATTATTCTGCATCCGTAGCATCTCCATGGATTCTGTTTCACTGTATATCTGGCTTTAACTAGATCTGCCTGCAACGGGGGAAAATTCACCTCAATAGAGTGGGCTATTATGAAGGTAATTAAACTAAAGTGGCTTGCCATTTATAATGCCTCCGACTTTTTCTGATTATTCATTGAACGTTGCGCAAACTGGCAGCACTGATAGACATCTGCAGACTGAATTTCTGACATACAGTAAGGCGCACAAAAGAGACAATTTACAATGAATAAAACAAAACCCCCCACATCATCAAGCGAAATAATGATGAGGGCATTCAAATAGTCTTCTGGGGTCAGTCGGTAATGAGGACTGGCAGAAGCAGAATTGTATAACTCAATGAACCATTACAGGTTTCTATGAGGTTAAAGGGTCACTCTCTATTTCACCTTGAAATTGTTGATATTGTTGTCAGTGCAAATGTATTAAGGAGATGTATCTAGATTAGTATTCACAGTCCAAGGGAAATGAGAGGTATCAATATCCTACTTTATAAAACTGCCAAACTTGTTGTCCAGTTGGACGAATGCCATCAGCCCACAGATCTGGTCAAACTGGTATATTGCCATTCCTGACACCCACCCACACCAGGAACTGCTTGTCCTTATCAGTAAAAAAGTTCTGATAAGGTAAGATAAGGACACGGTGTGACATTAGGAATAAAAGCGCTATCACTGAGAGTCTTTCATTAGGAAATCATCTTAAGATTACTGATTCTGTGATTACACCAATACAAACTGCAGCTTTAACCAAGAACCTAGAACACATTCCAATAGGGCTGCTCGATTATGGGAAAAATCATAATCTCGATTATTTGGGTCAATAATAGATATCACGATTATTAAAAACGATTATTCATTTATTTTGAAAACATCCATTTATTTAGGGATGTCCCGATCCGATCACGTGATCGGGGATCGGAGCCGATCACGTGATTTTCAAAAGATCGGAATCGGGAGGAAAAAATCGGGGATCGGAATTTTTTTTTTTTTTTTTTATAAAATATTTTTATACATTTTATTTAATGTTACAAAACAAAAATGACCATGTTCACGT